GTATTCCGCACCTTAATCAGGCAGTAGTTTTTAGGTCACTTACATTTTCTGGCTTAGTACAAATTAATTATTTTGTAATTAAAAAAATTATCTCTGCTTTCAACTCAAAGAAAAAAAAGACTACGATTTGCATATGTTTCTTTCCCCAAAGCATAACCTTGTCTATAATTTCAAATCCTAGACTTAGAATTGCTAACATGCTGTTCATATGTGTCAGCCAAAAGTGTTTGAAAAGTACACATAAAACATAGAAAAACAAAAGGTCAGGCCCATAAAGGAATAATCAAATTCCTTTTTTAGGTGATTTAACACCACTGATGTCAGAGGCTTGGGCATCAAAGTATCTTTGTAGATCTGGGTTACAGAGCGATTTAGCTAACCATATTGGTAGACTTGAATGCTGTGCAGAACTGTCTACAAGAAGTAGTGACTAAATTTTAGGAGAAAGTAAGTGATGACACGGCTTACACTGAAGTCTTTTTGACTAAATCAGATAAAGCTTTCAATGCTTTTTTTTTTCTTTTTTTTTTTTTTCTAGGACATTAATGATTAGTTCACAGGCAGGCTTAGGGAACAGGACACAATAAACTGAGAGATTTAACTGTTGGCAGCGGCAGCTGTGTCAGACACTAGCAGTACTGCTTGCTAGCCAGTTAGATCTGGGTGAACCACGTTAACAGAAAGGGCATAGAACATTCTATATTTCAGGGTAAGGATATATCTACTCCAATTACCGCATTCTTGTGTAACCCCCACAGAAAACTTGTAGGCAGTTTTACTGAGCTGTTTAAAGACTTGGGGAAATCTTAGCCTCAAGCAAATCACAGTTTAGGAAAAAAGGTTGTGAAAACACTGACTAGGTAAAACAAGGATGACAAAAGGCATGCTTCATCACTATGCCTCCATTATTTGGAAGTAGATGTCTCCCCATCACGATTTGTAACACGGAGAACGTAATGTGAACTTCTTATTTTACAGAAGATGCAAGACACTGACTCTCTCCCATAATATGTACAATCTACAGTCTTAATCAAACCTCTGCTAATCAAGTCTCCACACTATTAGAAGTGGATTAGACTTAAACTTGAAGCCACCCAACACTAGCCTTTCACATGACAAATCGTTTGACTTCCCCTCTGCCTACTCCACTCCCCCAACTTGCCTGCAAAATTTCAGTGCCTGTGACAAGGAAAACAGTAAAGTGCCGTAGTCTCCATAAAGTCAGTCTGCCAATGGACCCTAACTCTGCCTTAAAGGAGTCATAAAACACACGAATGGCAATACTGTCTCAGTGATGAAATTCACAGCATCAGCATCTATGAGAAATAGCTCAAGACCTCCAAATTTATCTGGCATTTACCAAGAAAAGACACTCTTAATTTCTATTCATTCATGTTGCATTTGAGACAGTGATCTAAAGATTTAAGGAACACAGAAATTATGCTTTGCTTTGCTGCCGCAATGTTTTGGCATTTGAAATGTTGACTGTCTTGACTTAAATGTCATCTGCAGTGTGGGTCAGGTGTGAACAAAAGACACGTCTAGGAGCTACTTTATGACTTGCACATTTCTACTCTTCATATTGCCTGTGGCAGAAGATGGAAAGCTGAGCTTCCAAAGGCTTTAAGAGTAGCCATTTGTCTGGAAGAGAAGATTAATACCCACACTTTTTCTTCTTGTTCCTCTATGTTCATTTAAAAATTGTAACAATTTGATCCAAATGAATCATCGAAGCAGAGACCAAATGCCACCTACTTCAGGTGAGGTTATACAGCAAAGATTTAGTTCAAGACTCTTTAGAGAAAGGGAACATTTCACCAGTCCTCCCTAGTGCACTGCCTAACAAAATTGTGTATGCTTTTCTCCTCAAATTAAGCTTCTGGATACCATGAGGCACTGACTAGGAAGAGAGGCCCGGAAAGCTGCAGGAACTCTGAGCACACACCTAAAAGCTGAAATGCAGTAACTCCCAAAATGTTTCAAGGAAAAAGCTGAAATGCAGTAACTACCAAAAGGTTTCATAGAAAAGAAATGTGCTGTGGGCTGCTTGAATCCCCTTTTCTTTCATAAAAGATATCTCAAGGACCGTACCTTCAACAATACACTGTACTATATAATGCTAGCTGGAACTCAGAAAAGAAAACCTATTAACTACTTGTTACATCTGTGCAAACCCACTGACTTCAATTTCTTTCATTTTTTCTGACTTCTCTGAAGCTGGCTGGATAGCATTACAAGCAGAATCTGGTTTATTTTCTTTGAATACTTAAACTCATTTCCATTCTGGCCTCCAAAGCTCCCCAGGGTACAATCTGATCTTTAAAAAAAAAAAAAAAGAAAAAGAGAGCATCAGCTTTTTTCTTTATTGCTTATTCATGTTTTCCACTTCGCAGTAATTCAGCATCGTAAACAAACAGCCTCTACCTTATATGCTAGTTTTAGTTCCAATTTTGGCAGTTTTGTAAACTAAAGTTTTACACTCCTACCATAGTTAGGATAACTTCATTCCCTAATGGATACTTAACACATCTAATTACTCTATTTTTGAGCTGCAAATGCTGTTGAAAAATCTCTCTGTTCTTTCATTCCAGGAGCTTTCCAGCTGCAACATTTTCTACTGAATAAAACATTTTCAGTGACTTTGCTCATAAATAATACAGCACAAAGACCAGTGTAGTTCCAACTGTACATAATAACCTTAGAATTCCACTGAGGGTTTTCTAGTGACATCATCATAAATTGCAAGAAAAAAATGAAGATGTATTAAATTATAGTTTGGGTATATTTTAGTCTTTTTTACACGTGCTAAGAGAAGTCAGACATTTGTTACAGCAATCTGAACAATTTTTTGGACTACTTCAAGTCTGGAAGGGACATAATTTCAAAGCAAGATGCAGAGGCATATTTCATATTTGTAAGGAAAAACTGAGTGACTGAATATATCATTATTATTTATTTTGCATGTACAAATTCCCATGCTGTTTCTTCATGCTTAGTCAAATGTAAAGGTTTTTAAACTAAACAGAAACCAACCTCCCTCAAAACTTCAAGATCCGTGCTGACAAACATTGATTCAGAATATGATTTTATGCCCCTATAAATTGTGAAGGGGTAATAACTGGGGCAACAGTTGGGTGTCAAAACACTTCTGCAGCACTCCATGATCTCAAAGTTTGTTGTTCAGATCTCACAAGAAAATGGTAACTCGATTTAACTGGTAATACAACTGTGTCGGTGAAATGATTTGCTAATGTGATTTTAGTTTGGTTTACATGTCTTTGTCTTAGAGTGCTCAGCCCTCTAATAGATGAAAATACTGCAGTTGTTAGCCCAGAAAGGAAGAATAACAGCTATAGACACTTCATTTCCAACTGAGAATGTACAAGGACTGGTAACGCCTAAGCAATTTGGGCCACGAGACACCAACTTCCTCCTCTGCTCCCCTCATCCAGGGAGCAGGGAGAAGGAAAAGAGGTTTATGAAGTGCAAGAGAATGCTTCTAATGGGCAGAGTCAGGAGATACCACAGACTCAAAATGAGAGGCTGCTTCTATTCTTGGGTCTGGGCTTCTGCTTCCAATTGCAAATAAAAGTTGGCTGCTATTGCAGCCATTTACTTGTCAATGTGCTGTTAAAGCCTGGGTTGGTTCATCTAGAGAAAAAGTGCCTCAGTGAGACTGCAGTGATTGGCTGGGAGGCAGTGACACTTGAACCTAACGCATGAATCCACAGGAGTCCAAGGCTTCTCCCTCCCCACTCTACACTGGTGTCTCATGTCTCAAGAGGCATTTCAAAGAGATCTGGAAAGCAGGTGAACTAGAGGCAGCGAGACCTTGGGTGACAATACGCAGAAGACAGGGGCTTGAATCAACAGCTGGAGTGAGGAAACTGACTTTTCCCTAAAGCTGACATTGAGCCTGACTTGAAGATCAGGTTCTTACCTTTCTGGATGAAGAAATGTGCCTCTCTTCTTTAAAGTCACTCTATGACTTTTGCAAAGAAGGATTTATGGGAAAGGCTGATGTCCCTCTCTCATACTTTCATGGACTCGTATCCTCAAGATTAAAAACCTGCTATGGAGAATTGGCCAGCTGCCCTTTGGAGTGCTTGGCTAGCTAATGCTTCACTGTATTTTCTGTACTCTAGTTTAATCTAGGAGGAAGGATTTGGGGGTGGGAGAGGTTACTGAAACAGTGTGAGTGAGGGTAACCAGCATGGAGCTTGCCAAAGGAGAGGTGACTGGAAAACATTTCAGGGCAGAGAGAGAATGCAGGAGACTTAGAAAGGTTCCTGTGGTATGGAGAGATGAGATGATCTGGAAAAAAAAAGACTGGAAGGTGTGACAGAGAAACAAGTTCACCACAGAAGAAACAGAAGAAGGTAGGGACATTCATGTTAGGAAGGCATGAAGCAGAAGAACGAATAAACAGAAAAAAGAGAACAATGTGATCTGTTAATTTAGTAAGAGAGCACTTGGGAGCAGAAGGAGCAAAAATAATTAATATCTGAATTTTTATTTTTTGTTGCAATTAGCGCATTTTTGCCATGGTAAGAAAAGGTGAATTAAGCTTTGAGCTCCACATAGATTGAAGAAGCGCTGGGCTCCTTCCCATCAAAGTGTCAGAGCACAAGTATTTGTGGGATGCATTTGAATGCAAAGCACAGCCTGAAAACACACATCAACAACTTATACTTCCCCTTTTCAAATACTGTTATCTCAAGCTCAGTTGCTTTGTTCAAAACATGTATGTGTGCATATATATGCATGTAATGTACCACAGAAAAGCATCTGCCAGAGGCGAACAACTCTGATCCTAAAGACAAAGAGGGTCCAGGGAGACCGGCAGTGTATGATATATCATTATTTTTTTAGCTTCCCAACTACTTCTCAGGATGATAAAAAAATTCTTCCTTTTCTCACATTTAAGTGGAACATTCGTACCCCCCTCTGCATGTACATATATGTTCAGCCTGCTTTCCCTCCATTCATTCTTTATCAACTTACTGGATGGAGTTCTCAATGCGTGTGATGGTGAGGAAAGCTGCTAGGTTTGCCGTGTAGGAGGAGATGACAATCAAAGCAAAAAGCCACCAAGCTCCCATCATCAGTCGGGTTGCCAGAGTTGTGTATGGAACCTCCCCTCCTGTGGGGAAGAAGGAGAAGCAAGAGTTTTCATTCAGCAGAAGGAAACCCAGGTCCTCATTGCTCATCTACTGCTCAGGAGAACTAGGTCCCAAGGCCAACAGGGTAAAGCAGTTTATTAAAACAAGGTGCTTGAGTAAACTGAGCAGGACTCGGAGCCATACTTTCTATGCAATTAAAAGTACTGAAGGAAGCCCACACTGTTAGCCATCATTACTGTATTTAATCTCTTTTGCTATTGTGCCTTCAATTGCAGTTCATCTGCCAGTCCTATCCACTAATGGAAATAGACTTCAAAATCTCAGACCAAAACCAGTGAAAACAAATCCTCAGAATGTTCTTTCCTTAGAAATCTTATCTACAAAATCTTAATTAAGTTTTTCTTGCATTCTTGAGAACTTAAAGTTTAAAAAACTCATAAAACACAATTACTTTTCACAGTTCTGTAGGCAGGCAGAATGCATTCTGCATTCTCAGATGCTTGTAAGAACCTTATGTATGTATATAAATTGCTGCAAGCGAATCTGGACATGAAAAAAAAAAAATCACATACATTGAAGAAGAACCCCAAATTGGTTTGTATTCCTGTAAGTTGCTTTCCTTCAAAACCCAAATGTCTTGTTCAATCAAAACATCGTCATCAATTAAACCTACTAGGATGAGTTGCACACCACTGCCTGTGTGACCAGAGCCCAGTTTAGCAAGCCATGAGAAGTGTTACTTTTTATTCAAATAGTTGCCCTCCAAACACAGCACTTTGGAGTCTCTGAAAGAGCTCTTTCAGTCATAAACATATGAATCACAGATTTTTAAAAGAAGGGAAATTCATTGTTTGAAAATACCCATTTTGTCTGCAGCATAAGTTTTGTTACAGCTACAGGTGACTACAGAGGAAGGGTGAATGAAGCAAACACCCATAATCAGCTTTTTAAGATGTTCACTCTTTTCCCTGATACTCAGCAATTTGAAAATTGTCATTATTTTTGAGGTAACTTTCTTAGAAGCAAAATCTTATAATGGTACAATACCTGGGATTTGCAAAAGCAGTTTGTTAAGGATTCATTAATCTGCATGTATTTTGTGCTGGATCTTCACTTACATAAAAACTCCTTCACGTTTACCCAGCAAGTAGGTTTAAAGTGAATACAAATTACAACTATTTCTATTCCAAGTACAAATAATTTTCAGTTATGTACAAAAATTAGATATTTAATCCATGCTTGAATATGAAAGATCACCTTACTGCTTTGTTCAAAGTATGTCCTTCCTGTACAGAGCACTGAGAACTCTGCATCACCGTACAATAAACAAATTTGAAGCCCTTTTCCTAACTCAGTAACGTGGAGTACTATATGTGAAATGATAACCAACTCCATTTATAGTTTTTGATATATAAGTACTGGAATTCTTTGTCTTTTAAAAATTCCAGTATTGAAAGACAAAATCTGCACAGTCAGAAATAAATTTCCTTTTATTTCCAAGATGCCATGTAATTATCTGAAATAAGAACCCACTGATCAGATTGGCAGATACTATTTCAACATAAGGACTTTCGAAGATGAACATTAATTCAACATCTGAAGATTTAGTTTTCTCTCTGACATAAATTTTAAATAATTTTTAATAGAATATTTCTTTACAACAGTTTTTGCAATGTCTTCGTAATACTTAATTTAATAATTATTTTTAATATAAGGAAAAGAGCAGCCAGCTATATCAATTTATTGGAAAAGGCTGTTTGTCCTTTTAACTTTTAAGTGACATCCCCTGCAGACAATCTTCATATTGAGTTTAAATGGCCAGAATGATAGAAGTCAATGACATCCTTGCATTTATACTTTTCAGCTTAATGAGTTAAACTTTTAAGTTCTCACACTTTTTTATTGAAATGAAATGTCAGAAAAGAAACGACCACTGAAAGTCTGACCACTGAAGTCTGGGTTTCAAGTGAGGATGCTGTGCAACAAGTGACCATGAAAGCCATCGTAGACCCCTCAGCCACAGCATTTCCTTACTGCTCATGCAGTGTATTTTTCCCACATATTGGTAAAGTTGTCCCTACTGTTCACATGCTGTCTTCTCTTTTGTAACACCCATGTTAGCAACAGACCTTAAAAAACTGTGATTGCTGATCACCCCAAGTGCTCTTATTTCACCCCAGTGTTTCTGAAGGCTTCTTCCCAATTCACAGCTTGTGTATCAGCAGCCAATAAATAAAGCTTAAGGGCAAAGCCTGCATCAAAGTACATATACAATAAACACATATCAAAATAACCCATCACTCCTGCCTCTACTCTAAAATCTTTGCGCTGATACTTCTTAAACCATCATTTCTAAAGCAGGACGGACACTGCAACTGCATAGGCACCTGATTTTTAAGCAGTATAGGCAGGGTACTCCTCCTCTCCCAGTGAAAGAAAGAAACAAACAAAAATCAAAGGAGATCTTTCACTGCCATAGTATCATTTCTTTGGCATCTACTAGGAGACTTAATGCGATACAGTCTTGTTCTATTGAACTGTTAGTTAAAACACTTCCTGCACCCATGACAGCTCACCTTAACTCCCTTCCTCGATTTTGTTCCTGAGGATAAAACTTCCCCGAGTTTTCTTTCAGTCCAAATTTACATGTGCAGAAGAAGTAATAAGTTACTCAGGAGAGCAACAATCAGTGGTTTTCCACTAACATGACTATGAAAAAGAGCTGCAGACCTCACGGTCACTGTTGTTGATTAAATTAGTATGCAGAAAGGCTGTGCACATAAACCTCCCTGGGCTCTGCTTTCCAAGATCCACTATGAGCTTCAGGTGCATGAATGTCTTTATGGATGACAGCCTGTTCTGGTAACAAGAAGCTATGCAGAGGACACGCAGTGCAAAGGAGGAAGGAGCCAGGAATATGTCCCTCGTATCATACCAGCACAGCTTAGTAACTCCTAGTGGCAATGGGGACACCTAATGCCATGTAAACACATGTTGGTGAACAGAGTAAAATTTGTCCTATCACACCTCATTCCTATATCAAAATTCATTAATGGGATTTAATATGCTGGTTGTGGTTACACTAAAACCACTACCATTGTAGCATGCTGAGTGACACTCAAAACTGCTGAGCTCTGCTCATGAAATAAATGCAAATCAAAGAAGACACTCAGCTGTCCTGTCATCTTGAGAGATAGACCACAAATGAGTACGAAAGCTGTATAATTTCGTATTATTCTTTAGACTTGGCCTTTATAATAAACTGGCAGAGGGTGGCATGAAATGCCACTACCTGTAGCTCGCCTATTTTGTGGCTAAAGCTCCTAGAATATACAGCTGATGCTTATGATGTGTATTAAAAATCATTGTAAAAATCTAATCTGCCTTTATAATGTTCATATTGCATGTTCAGGAAGGAAAAGATATTTTCCAGAGTAAACTGAAACGAGCAAAAATCAATCTTATTGGGAGTTTTCCAAAAGAGCTGAATTACCATAGAAGTGACAGTGAAAGAAATTACTTCTAGTCCTCCCGCTCTCATCTAATGCAGCTCTCCTTCATCAATCCTAGACCAGTTTAAAGCTGGCCTGCTTCAGATGACAGGCTTAGCCTGCAACTTTATCTTATGAATTTTTGTTTATTTTCATTTCTTCCCAAGTGCTTAAAGCTAAGTAGCAGAAGGTATGAAAAATAATGCATTGCCTTGACAACGCAAACAATATAAGGCATAATTATGACAGACCTAAATATCAGGAAAAATCCACCTTAGGATATAAAATGTGAAGCTATGCAATTCCCATAGAGATTTCTATTATTTTTTAAGCTATTGTCCCTTATTAGCAGTAAGTTTAAGGGTTTCTTCAAGTCAAAAATCGCAAGAGAGGATTACAGGCAAGAAGAAGAAATGATATAATGAGAGAAATAGGAATCTTGTTCTAAGGGATTTGTCAGTTGTTTGCACAAAGAAAAACTCTGTTCATCTTTGTAGTCCAGAACTATGAAACTGTTTCAGATAGAAATGGAAAAAAATATTTTCCTTTTTTTTTTTTTTGGACAAAAAGAAATGGTGAAACATTTGTTGGAAAAGTTTTAACCATAGATGGCATTACTGAGATCGAGCCTGGAGGTAGCCACTTTGCTGAAAAGTGATGTAATTTCTGTTACTAGTCATCCGGGCAGTAGATGTGCAAGACAAAGTCTCTCTGATTTAGTACCAATTTAACAAATTCACTGGGAATGCACAATATTTTTAAATAAAAATAATTTTCTAACAGTTCAGAAATAATTTTTGTATTATTTCTACAGCAAAGAACATGCCAGCATAGAGCCTCCAATGTCAAGAAAATTCAGAATTGATTACTGAGAACAATAATGTCTTTGAAGATTAATTATTGAAATGTATGTTATAAACAACTACACACAAGGGGAAAAGCAACAAGTCACCGTTTTTCTATGTCCTGAATTTGATAACTCTACTAAATTATGCTTCTGAGGGGAGTTGAGAGCTTGACTGGGAGTGTGCTGCAGCTACTCCATACGTGAAAGGAGCGGTTTGAATAAGAAGGCTTTACCCTTCTCTTACAGGAAAGGACACTGCAAGAATCACAGTTTGCAATTTCATTTTGGCATAACCACAGCTGCCAGGAAAATCCCAAAGAAGGTTCTTTTTGTAGACAAAACTCAGTTTGTCACAGAGGCTTACTATCAAGGCTTCTCTATCATTCTCAATTTAAGAATGTATAGCAGTTGTGAAAAACTTTGTCAAATTTCAGAAATTTAATCTGTGATAAACTCTGCTACAGGTCTACAGTGATATGAATTTCTGTGTAAGACGTTTTAGCCAGATTTTTTTTCAGACAATTTTGAGAACCATGAAAAAACTGTTAATTGTCACTGATTTGTTGAGGAACTCTAATTGAGAGCAAGGATCTTGATTGTGCTTGGAAAAGGAAGGTGAAAAAATAATAGAGTGGGTTATCTGGGGACAGATTTTGGTCTTGCCTTTTCTTGCAAAAATTCT